GGGTTTTTTTGTTGGGGGGGATTTGGGCTTTTGGGTATGAAACAGGAAAAACACACTCAGGATTCAAGGAAAACCAAGGGTGATACAGGTGGTCTGCATGGGGAGGGGGGTTTGGGGGGTATTTAGTTTTTTTGGGGGGGGATTTGGGGGCTGAAACAGGAAAAGCGTGCACGGGATTTGGGGAAAAACGGGGGTGAGACAGGTGGTCTGCATGGGGAGGGGGGTTTGGGGTGGATTTGGTTTTTTTTGGGGGGGATTTGAGGATTTGGGGGCTGAAACAGGAAAAGCGTGCACGGGATTTGGGGAAAAACGGGGGTGAGACGGGTGGTCTGCATGGGGAGGGGGTTTGTGGGGGATTTGGGGTTTTTTTGGGGGGGATTTGGGGCTTTTGGGGGTGAAAACAAGAAAAACACTCGGGAGTCAGGGAAAACCAGGGGTGAGACGGGTGGTCTGCATGGGGAGGGGGTTTGGGGGGAATTTGGGTTTTTTTGGGGGGGATTTGGGGGCTGAAACAGGAAAAGCGTGCTCGGGATTTGGGGAAAAACGGGGGTGAGGCGGGTGGTCTGCATGGGGAAGAGGAGTTTGGAGCTTTTTTGAGGGGTTTGGGGGGGATTTAGGGTTTTTTGTTGGGGGGGATTTGGGCTTTTGGGTGTGAAACAGGAAAAACACACTCAGGATTCAAGGAAAACCAAGGGTGAGACGGGTGGTCTGCATGGGGAGGGGGTTTGGGGGGGATTTGGGGTTTTTTGGGGGGGATTTGGGGGCTGAAACAGGAAAAGCGTGCACAGGATTTGGGGAAAAACGGGGGTGAGACGGGTGGTCTGCATGGGGAAGAAGAGTTTGGAGCTTTTTTGAGGGGTTTGGGGGGGATTTGGGTTTTTTTGTTGGGGGGGATTTGGGCTTTTGGGTGTGAAACAGGAAAAACACACTCAGGATTCAGGGAAAACCAAGGGTGAGATGGGTGGTCTGCATGGGGAGGGGGATTTGGGGGGGATTTGGGGTTTCTTGGGAGGGATTTGGGGCTTTTGGGGGTGAAAACAAGAAAAACACTCGGGATTCAGGGAAAACCAGGGGTGAGACAGGTGGTCTGCATGGGGAGGGGGTTTGGGGGGGATTTGGGGTTTTTTGGGGGGGATTTGGGGTTTTAGGTGCGAAACAGGAAAAACACACTCAGGATTCAGGGAAAAACAGGGGTGAGACAGGTGGTCTGCATGGGGAGGGGGAGTTTGGAGCTTTTGTGAGGGGTTTGGGGGGGATTTGGGGTTTTTTGGGGGGGATTCTGGCTTTTGAGGGTGAAAACAGGAAAAGCGTGCTCGGGATTTGGGGAAAAACCGGGGTGAGACGGGTGGTCTGCATGGGGGGGGGCAGTTTGGGGTTTTTGGGGGGATTTGGGGTTTTGGGGGCTGAAACAGGAAAAACACACTCAGGATTCAGGGAAAAACAGGGGTGAGACAGGTGGTCTGCATGGGGAGGGGGAGTTTGGGATTTTTGGGGGGATTTGGGGCTTTTGGGGGTGAAAACAGGAAAAACACTCGGGATTTGGGGAAAAACGGGGGTGAGACGGGTGGTCTTCACGGGAGGGGGGGCTTTGGGGTTTTGGGGGGGAATTTGGGGGTTTGAGGGGAATTTGGAGGTTTGGGGGGATTTGGGGTTTTTGGAGGTGAAACAGGAAAAACGCACTCGGGATTTGGGGATAAAAGGGGCTGAGATGGGTGGTCTGCACAGGGAAGGGGGGTTTGGGGTGGAGTTTGGGGTTTTTGGGGAGGAATTTGGAATTTTCCCCCAGATTTGGAGTCTTGCCCGTGTTGGGTTGGAGGAAATTGGGGCAATTTTGGCGAGTTGAGAGCGATGCTGTTCTGGGGGAAAAAGTGGGAATTCTGGGGGCAGGGAAGCTCACACAGATCCCAAATCCTGGGGTTTCACCCCAAAATGGCCCTGGCAGAGTGAACTCCTGACACTCCCCACACGGGACAGCCCCAAAGCCGAGGAAATGGGGAAAGTGCCCCAAACTGGTCATGCAGGTTGAGGTGTGGCCAGAGGCCCAACCCGAGGGCCTTCCTCAAGCCCTGCGGGAGGTTCGTTAAGCATTGGGGTGGTTAATTAAGCACTAGGCATGTTAATTAAATGCTAATCAGAGCCATCAAGGAACAACAGTGACAGGGGTGGGGGCAGAGCAGCCCCCCCCAAAATGAGACCAAACACGGGGTTTTCTGTCATCCCAAGGGTCACAGACACCCCAAACTCGGGGATTGTGCCCCAAAAATGCACAAACTAACCCCAAAATGGGGGTGAGGGGGAGTCCAACCCACCCTTCTGCCCAGGGGTCCCCCCAGTTCCCTGTGTCCCCCCTCCCTGACAGCGCCAGGTCCCCTCGCCCCCCTGCCCACGTACGTTTTTGGGGTGAAGTTGGCAGAAACGGCCTCTTTTCAGCCCGTTTTGGGGGCCTGGAGCCCCGGCAGGTGCCGTGGGGCGAGGGCCGGGCCCGGCTGCAGCTCCGCTGCCACTTCTGCCCCGGCGCTGGGGAGGAACCACCGGAAAAGAACCAAAACCCCAGTGCAAACCAGCACAGCTCCAGCCAAACCAGCAACAACCCCCATTGCCCCTGCCGAAGCGGCTCCGACACCCCAAAATCCCCTTTTTTGGCAAAAGCACGGCTCGGGGGGCGGGGTGGGGGAGCCCCCAGAACTCGCAGCCCGTTCCCGGCTGCGGGCAGGGACGGGAGCAGTCCCGGGGGCGGATTTTGCCCGTTCCGGCGGGTTTTTGCCCCGTTCCGGAGTTGTGTAAGCGCCGGGAGCGGGGTCTGGAGGCGCTCCCGCTGTGTCACCGCTGTCCCCGGCCGTCCCCTCCCGGGCCCGCTCCGTACCTCTCTGCCTGCGGGGGCGGCGCTCCGGGTCTCGCCGCTTTTTTTGGGGGAGCAAACGGGGCAAAAGCGAATTTGTCACCCCCAAACTTCCTGGAGCAGGAAGGCGAGGCCGCCCCCACCCCGAGACTCCTCCCTGCGCCGCTCCCTCCCCCCGCGGGGAGCGGCTCTGGGGGGGCCCGGGTGGGTTTGGGGCTGGTTTGGGGAAAATCCTGCGGGAATTTCACCGCATTGGAGCGGGGAGGGGCGGGGGTGGGGCTGGGCAGGGCGGGGGGCACTGGGGGGTGGGCAGGGGGGATGGACAGAGATGGACACTGGGGGGATGGACAGGGGGGATGGACACTGGGGGGATGGACAGGGATGGACAGGGGGGATGGACACTGGGGGGATGGACACGCAGGGATGGACACGCAGGGATGGACACTGGGGGGATGGACAGGGATGGACACTGGGGGGATGGACACTGGGGGGATGGACACGCAGGGATGGACACGCAGGGATGGACACTGGGGGGATGGACAGAGATGGACACTGGGGGGATGGACACTGGATGGACACTGGGGGGACACTGGGGGGATGGACACTGAGGGAGTGGACACTGGGGGAGTGGACAGGGGGGATGGACACTGGGGGGACACTGGGGGGATGGACAGAGATGGACACTGGGGGGGATGGACAGAGATGGACACTGGGGGATGGACAGAGATGGACACTGGGGGATGGACAGAGATGGACACTGGGGAGATGGACACGCAGGGATGGACACACAGGGATGGACAGAGATGGACACTGGGGAGATGGACACACAGGGATGGACACTGGGGGGATGGACACGCAGGGATGGACAGAGATGGACACTGGGGGGATGGACAGGGGTGGACACTGGGGGGATGGACACGCAGGGATGGACACTGGGGGGACACGGGGTGGGGTGGACATCTGTGGGGTGTGTGTGACACGGGTGACACACTCACCGTAGACCCCCCCCCCCCCAAGTCAGATGCCACTCCCTCTTTTTAATTTTTTCACCCTTTTCAGCCCACGGGGAAAAAAAAAATCAAAATTAAGGATTTTTTAATACGTGTTGCCCATTTTCTGCGTTTCTCCTTGAAAAATGGGGAGGCAGAAGGGGAGAAAAGGAGCGATTCTGGGCAATTTTGGAGGGTTTGGGTGAGAAATAAGAAGGAAATGGAAAAAAAAAAAAAAAAACTGAGAAGATATCACCCCAAACCACCAGCTGGGAAGGAAAGAGACACTTGTGAGCAAAAATGGGGGTTGGGTTAAAAAAACCCCAAAATTGGTCGGGTAAAAACCAAAGAAAGGGCATTGAGGGTGTGGCACAGCCCCAGTTCCAGCAGGTTTTTCCCCAAATCAGGTGTGGAGCAGCCCCAGTTCCGGGGGGTTTTGGGTCAAGGGCAATTTTGGGACAAAATCAAAAAAGGGTCAAATCTGGGGGCAAAAATTAAAAAATAAAAGCCCAGTTCTGTGTCAAAAGCAAAAAGGGGCCAATTTTAGAATTAAATAATGAGAAAAAAGGGGCTCAATTTGGGGTCAAACCAAAAAAGGGCAAATTTCCACACAGAAAGGGCCCAAATTCCTCACAAAATTAAAGGGAAATTGGGTCCAAACTCGCTGTAAAATCTGCAGTTTTGAGGATTTCTTTGCCCTGGCCCTGTCTGGGCCTTCAGGGTTACCCCAGGCTGCCCAGGGCTGGTTTTGGGTGGGAATCGGGGATTTTGGGTGGGATTTAGGGATTTTGGTGTGATTTTGGGTGGGAATCAAGGATTTTGGGTGGGATTTAGGGATTTTCATGTGATTTTGGGTGGGAATCAGGGATTTTGGGTAATGGGAGCAGGACTCTGAGGTTTGAGCACCTCTGGGATTAATTAGGGACCTGCTTTATCAGCAGGGGCATCATTAAGGCCCTGCTTGATTAGAGCCCCTGCTTGACTGGGGGAGCATCATTAGGGCCCCCACTTAATTATTAGGAACATCATTAGGGCCCCCCTGCATTATTAGGAACATCATTAACACCTCTCACTTCATTAGTGGGGCATCATTAGGATTCCCTACTTCATTAATTGAGGCATCATTAAGGTTCCTTGCTTAATTAGAGACCCTGACTTCATTAGCAAGAATATCCAGAGAACCCCCTGCTTTATTAGAGGGGCTTCATTAGGGACCCCCACTTAATTACCAGGGGTCCTAATCATTAGGACCCCTACTTGGCTGGGAGGGTGTTAGGGCCCTAATTAAGGCAGGGCTTCGTTAAGGCTCTAATTAAGGACTGACAGGGCAGGGGGTTGCATCTCTCATGGGCAGCCATCAGTGCCATGGCCAGCAGGTCCTGCAAAAAGAGGTAAAAACCAGCTGATTGAGGCAAAAAAACAACTCAATTCGGGCAAAAAAAGTTGTTTTTCTTAAAGAAAATAAAACAAAAAAGTGGTTTTAGTTAGACTGACCTTGTCAGAGACCCTGGAGAGGGACGCCTGCCTAACAGTGTCTTCTTGGGGAGGAGAAAACAACCAGAAAATCAATTTTTGGGTAAAACTGCCCGATTTGGAGGATCTAGAACGTGAGGGGAGGATTTTGCCCGGTTTGGAGGGGAGCTAAAAAAAAACCCAGAACAAGAATTAGCATTCAACCCCCTTAAAGCTTCAAGTGACCCCAAAAGCCCCCAAACCCAACCTTTTGTAATGCTCAAAAATCCCTAAATCCCCCCAAAACCAGACCAAACGTTTAATTCCCAAAAGCTCAGAGCGAGCACAGGTTTAACCCGGTCTCGTACCTCTCTGCCTCACCCATACTGCAGGATTAAAGGGCTCTTTGAAGTTTAATCTTTTCTTTTCCGCTATATTTTAGTACGATTGAAGGTGCTGAGTGGATTTTCTGCTGCCAAAAAGGAAAAAGCGCCAAAATCCCCTCAGGGGCTCCGGCGCCTTCCCGCCTTTTTCTTTCGCCTCAGCGGCCTTAGCTCCGCCCCTTCCCGGGAGCCGCATTCTATAGGCCGTGAGGCCGCACCTCCAGCCAATCAGAAGGCAGAGATTGACTAAACCACGCCTCTCTCCCCGAGCTGCTGCATTTTAATGATAGTCTCAGCCAATGAGAGATGAGGCGCGCAAAGGAGGCGTCGCTGATTGGTCGGGCGCCATGAGGGAGAAGTGTGAAGGGAGGGGCGGCTTGGGGAGGAGGTTTGTGAGGGGGAAGGGGATGGCGGAAGGCGATGCAGGCAAAAAGGATCGGGTGAGGCGCGCGGAACGAGAGAAGCGGGGAAAGGCGACAAGTCCGGCTGGTGTGGGGCGCACCCACGGCGCTCAGGGGGGCGCTGCCCTCGCCCGCGCCGCCCCTCCCTTAGCAACAGCCGCCGGCCGAGCGGCGTCGCGCGGGGGAGGTTTTTTCTGATTGGCCGAGACCCGCCGCGCCTGGCCAATGAGCGCGAGCCACGGGACCCTGCGCGTCACCGCCCACCCCTGCGCCGGCGGCGGGGCCGCTCGGAGCGTACCAAGCGGGGGTGTGCGGGGGGGATCAGCACAGCGGTTCAGTGTTTAGGGGAGCCACGACCGCACACTCCCGTGCAGCGGGAGGAGACGAGGCTCATTGGGTTCTCTGTAGGGAGGAGCGGGTTTGGGGAGCGAGGTGAGGGCAGCAAACTGGGAGTGAGCCCCCCTTCTCCCCCATCTTCTCCCCCCCCCGTGCTGCGCGTGGTGCGGTCCGGGCGGAAGTGAGGTGTCGCGCGCTGCGGCGGTTCCGGTGTGGGAGCGGCTGGGGCTGAGGCGGGGTCGGGCCCGGTGAGTCCCGGCGGGTCCCGACGGGTCCCGGGGGGCGGCAGCGCGGCCCGAGGGGCGGGCAGGGCACGGCGGGGGCGGCCGGAGGCACCGGGGGGCTCGCGGGAAGCTGAGGGAGCCGTGACAGTTGGGGGTTCCCGGTGGAGGAGGGGACGCGGATGTGGGGGGGGGGGCAGGGCAGAGGGACGTGAGGGGACCCGGGGGGTTTGGGGACATTGAGGGGGACAGAGGGACAGGGGGACAGGGAGGGGGACAGAGGGATATATGTGGGTTATTTATATAATAATAAAATAATGTGAGTTATTTTTGGGGTTAAGCCCCTGATTTTGGGGGTTCCAGGCTGAGGCTGTGCCGTGTGTGACAGCAGGAACCCGGTCCCTCATTCTGTGGTTTGTTTTTGGGGTGAAATCCATTCTTTTTCGGCGAAATACATTCTTTTTTTGGGTGAAATCCATTCTTTTTTCGCTGAAATCCATTATTTTTGGGGTGCAATCCCTGTTTCTGGCAGTTCCAGGCTGAGGCCATGCTCTGTGTGACAGGAGGCGCCTGATTGCTGATTTTTTGAGTTAAATGTGGGTTATTTTTGGGGTTAAATCCATTCTTTTTGGGGCTAAACCCTGTTTTTTGTGGGTTCCAGGCCGAGGCCATGCTGTGCACGGTGCTTGGCACAGCAGGTGCCTGACCCCTGTTTTTGGGGTTATTTTTTGGGTTAAACCCCTGGTTTTTTGGCAGTTGCATGCCAAGGCCATGCTATGCACAGCGCTGGGCATGGCAGGAGCCTGACTCTTGATTTTGGGGTTATTTCTGCGGTTATTTTTGGGGTTAAACCCCCATTTTTTGGCTGTTGCAGGCCGAGGCCATGCTGTGCACGGCGCTGGTCATGGCAGGAGCCTGATGGCTGTTTTGGGGGTTATTTTTGGGGTTAAAGCCCCGTTTTTTGGCTGTTGCAGGCCGAGGCCATGCTGTGCACGGCACTGGTCATGGCAGGAGCCTGACCCCTGTTTTGGGGGTTATTTTTTGGGTTAAACCCCTGGTTTTTTGGCTGTTGCAGGCCGAGGCCATGCTGTGCACGGCGCTGGTCATGGCAGGAGCCTGATGGCTGTTTTGGGGGTTATTTTTGGGGTTAAAGCCCCATTTTTTGGCTGTTGCAGGCCGAGGCCATGCTGTGCACGGCGCTGGTCATGGCCGGCAGCCTGGCGCTCACCACGGCCGTGGTGGCCCATGCCTACTACCTGAAGCACCAGTTCTACCCCACCGTGGTGTACCTGACCAAATCCAGCCCCAGCATGGCCGTGAGTGCTTTGTTCCTTGTTAATCACCCCTAATTACCCCGGGGCCGGGCTCAGGGCCTGCCCACGCCGCCTCACTTCTGCTTTTGGGGGCTGAGGGGCTCCCCCAAACCCCCTGGGGACGGCAGCGGGGCTGGTTCCGCCCATCCAGCCCCGGGTTTGGGGTGCCAAACCCCCCCCCGCCCCGGGCTGTCCCCAAAATGCCCTTTGGGGGCTGCTGGCCCTGCAGGTGTTGTACATCCAGGCCTTCGTGCTGGTCTTCCTGCTGGGCAAGTTCATGGGCAAGGTGTTCTTCGGGCAGCTGCGCGCGGCCGAGGTGGAGGTGAGCCTTTGGAGCGGGAGTTTTGGAGCCCAGAGGGTCTTTGGTGCTGTTTTAAGGGGGAATTTGTCACCCCAGAGGGTGTTTGGTGCTTATTTAGGGGAGAATTGATGCATTTTGAGGCAGGATTTTAAGCCCTGAGAGTCTTTCAGTGCCAGTTTGGGTGGGGATTTTGAACCCCAAGAGATCTTCGGTGCAAATTTTGGACCCCCGGAGTCTTTGGGCACCGTTTTGGGGTGAATTTTGAGCCCCCAGGGGTTTTTTTGGGCCCTGTTTTGGGGTGAATTTTGAGCCCCCAGGGGTTTTTTTGGGCCCTGTTTTGGGGTGAATTTTGAGCCCTCAGGGTTTTTGGGGCCCGTTTTGGGGTGAATTTTGAGCCCCCAGGGTTTTTGGGCCCTGTTTTGGGGTGAATTTTGAGCCCCCAGGGGTTTTTTTGGGCCCCGTTTTGGGGTCCACCCCGGGGGGCTGCCCCTAAATCTGTCCCTCAGCACCTCCTGGAGCGCTCGTGGTACGCGGTGACCGAGACCTGCCTGGCCTTCACTGTCTTCAGGGACGACTTCAGCCCGCGCTTCGTCGCCCTCTTCACCCTCCTCCTCTTCCTCAAGTGCTTCCACTGGCTGGCTGAGGACCGTGTGGATTTTGTGAGTGGTGGCAGCAGGGAAAACAGCTCAAAAACTGCCCCAAAAAACCCCAAATCCAGCCTGAAACCACCCCAAAAATAAGCCAGAATCCACCCAGAACTTGCCAGAAACCAGCCTAAAAATAACCTGAAATCAACCCAAAAACCAGCCCAAAAATAACCCCAAATCAGCCTGAAACTAGCCCAAAATTAATCCTAAAACAGTCTGAAACCAACCCAAAAATAACCCCAAATCAGCTTGAAACTAGCCCAAAAATAACCCCAAATCAATGAGGCTAAAACAGCCCAAAACCAACCCAAAAATAACCCAAAAACCAGCCCAAACCAACCTGAAATGAGCCCTAACCAAATCAACCCCAAAAATATCTCAAATTCACCCCAAAACTAACCCCAAACCAGCCAAAGCCACCCCAAAACAGCTGGAAATGAGCCCTAATCCCATTTTTTTGTGGAAAAAACTGGGTTTTCCTCCCCTGCACAGATGGAGAGGAGCCCCAACATCTCGTGGCTCTTCCACTTCCGAATCGTCTGTGAGTGCTCCTCATTTGCATATTTTTGGGGAAGAACCCAGGGCAGCCGAGCGTGCTGGGGCCTGATAACCCGAATTACCCTAATCAGCAGCAGCTCGTTAATGAGGGGGTTCCTGGGGGGGTTAACGAGCTCCGTGGAGGGAAAACAAGGATCTGGATCCACGGCAAAACAGGGTGGGAAAATGGGATTTAGGGATGTACTTCCCAAAAATCAGAAAAATGGGATTTAGGGATGTATGCCCCAAAAATCAGAAAAATGGGATTTAGGGATGTACTTCCCTGAAATTCAGAAAAATGGGATTAAGGGGTGCACTTCCCCAAAATCAGAAAAATGGGATTTAGGGGTGCACTTCCCCGAAATTCAGAAAAATGGGATTTAGGGATGCACTTCCCAAAAATCAGAAAAATGGGATTAAGGGGTGTACTTCCCCAAAATCAGAAAAATGGGATTTAGGGGTGTAGAAAGCAGTTTTGGAAGGAATTTTGGGGTGTTGGTGGGCAGGAGGCTGCAAGGCGTGGCTGGCAGTGAGAAACCTGTTAATTAAGCTCCTCGTTAGCGGTGGGGTGTAGGATCCCCCCAAAAGCTGCTCCCGAGGGTGGGTCCCGTTCAGTTTTTGGGGTCTCCCGGCCTCTTTTCCCAGCCCTGATGTTCTTGCTGGGAATCCTGGACTTCCTCTTCGTCAGCCACGCCTACCACAGCATCCTGACCCGCGGCGCCTCCGTCCAGCTGGTCTTTGGCTTCGAGGTGGGTGCGGGGGGTCCCGGGGGTCCCCGGGGCCGCTCCTGGGGCGGGACGTCCCACCTGGCGCCTGTGCCACCCCCAGTACGCCATCCTGATGACCATGGTGCTGACCATCTTCATCAAGTACGTGCTGCACTCCGTGGACCTGCAGAACGAGAACCCCTGGGACAACAAGGCCGTGTTCATGCTCTACACCGAGCTCTTCACCGGTACCGCGGCCGCTCGGGGGCGGGGGGAGCTCAATTAGGCGTTGGTTAACGAAGAGATGAAGTGTTGGGGGAGTTTGGGTGGGTTTGGTTGGTCAACGAAGAGTCAGAGTCTTGGTGGTGCTCAGTTGGTCTTCATCGGTCAACGAAGAGTTGGCGCCTTGGCGTTCAGCTGGTCTTGGTTGGTCAACAAAGACTGGAAGTCTTGGTTTCCAAGAAGGGTTGGAAGGTTCATTAGTGTTTTTGTTCATTAACGATGATCCAAAGCGTTGGTGTTCTACTGGTCCTGGTGGTCAACCAAAACTTGACATGTTGGTGCTTGGCTGGTCTTGGTTGGTCAATGAAGATCCAAAGTCTTGGTGGGGCTCAACTGCTCTTCGTTGGTCAATGAAAACTTCACGTCCTGGTGTTAACCGGTCTTGGTGGTCAACCGAAACTCAGAGTGTTGGTGGTGCTTGGCTGGCCTTGGTTGGTCAGTGAAGACTCAAAGTTTTGGCGCTTGGTTGGTCAATGAAGAGTCAAAGTTTTGGCACTTGATTGGTCAATGAAGACTCAAAGTTTTGGTGCTTGGTTGGTCGGTGAAGACTCAAAGTTTTGGTGCTCAGCTGGGTTTGGGTCATTAATGCAGGCTTGGTCACGGTGGTGGTGGTGCTCGGCTGGCTTTGGTTGGTCAGCTTGTCACCTGGTCACCTCAGGTGTCCCCAGATGGGCCCGGGTGGCCGTGGGGTCCCACCCCGCCCCCGGGCTGTCCCAGCGCGTCCCGCTGTGTTCTCCCCAGGGCTGATCAAGGTGCTGCTCTACATGGCCTTCATGACCATCATGATCAAGGTGCACACCTTCCCGCTCTTCGCCATCCGCCCCATGTACCTGGCCATGAGGTGAGGCCCCGCGGCCCCGGGGGTCTCCTGGTGTGATCCCGGTCCTGGTCCCGTCCTGATCCCCGTCCTGATCCTGATCCTGGTCCTGGTCCCGTCCTGATCCTGATCCCCATCCCCATCCCCATCCTGATCCCATCTTGATCCCCATCTTAATCCGATCCTGATCCCATCCCAATCTCCATCCTGATCCCAGTCCCGATCCCATCCTGATCCTATCCTGATCCCAATCCCGATCCCATCCCAATCCCATTTCAATCCCGATCCCCATCCCGCTCTGCTCCAGGCAGTTCAAGAAGGCCGTCACTGACGCCATCATGTCCCGCCGGGCCATCCGCAACATGAACACGCTGTGAGTGCCCCAAAAACCCTAAATCCTGGGAAAATCCATACATCCATCCACCCTGAAACCCCAAATCCTGGGAAAACCCTACACCCATCCATCCCAAAACCCCTGTGGGGTTTTTGGGGCCAGCTGTGGGATGGGGCCAGCTGTGGGGTTTTTGGGGCCAGCTGTGGGGTTTTTGGGCCAGCTGTGGGGTTTTTTGGGCCAGCTGTGGGGATTTTGGGGCAGCTGGGGGATGTTTTCCCCACAGCTATCCCGACGCCACGGCCGAGGAGCTGCAGGCCGTGGACAACGTCTGCATCATCTGCCGCGAGGAGATGGTGACGGGCGCCAAGCGCCTGCCCTGCAACCACATCTTCCACACCAGGTCTGCTCCCCGGGGATTCCGGGAATTCGCGGATTTTGGGGATTCTGGGCATTCTGGGCATTTTGGGAGTGGTTTTGAGGGGTCACCACTGCAGGTCTACCAGCCTGCAGTGGCAATCCTGGTGCTGATCCCAGTCCCAATCCCAGTCCTGATTCCATCCCAATCCCATCACTATCCCCCCAGTCCTGATCCTGATCTCAACCCTGATCCCGATCCCAATCCTGATTCCATCCCAGTCCCAATCCTGATCCTAATCCTGATTCCAGTCCTGATTCCATCCCAATTCCAATCCTGATCCCAATCCTGATTCCATTTCTCTCCCAGTCCTGATCCTGATCCTGATCCCGATCCCATCCCAATCCAATCTTGATCCCAGTCCCGATCCCAATCTTGATTCCATCCCAATCCCATTCCCATCCCAGTCCTGGTCCCAATCTGATCTTGATCCCAGTCCTGATCCCATCTTGGTCCTTATCCCAATCCTGATCCTGATCTCATCCCGATCCCAATCCACACCCCAATCTTGATTCCATCCCAATCCCTATCCCAATCCTGATTCCATCCCCAATTCCAATCCTGATCCCAATCCACATCCCACTCCCGTCCCAATCTCAATCCCCAGCATCGCAGTGGAGGTTAATGAGGTCATTAGTTAATTTGGGATGAATTAATTAGGGGTTCATTAGCGGGGAAAGGGTTGAATTCCTTTTTGGGGGGGTCAGAGTGACACGGAAGGGTCTCGGGGGCCAAGAGCTGACAGGAGGGGAGTTAATTTAGGGGTTAATTAAACCAGCGGGGGTGGCAGTACTGCGTTAATTAACGAAGGCGCTAATGAACCCCGCAGCTGCCTGCGCTCCTGGTTCCAGCGGCAGCAGACGTGCCCCACGTGCCGCATGGACGTGCTCCGCGCCTCGCTGCCGCCGCAGCCGCCCCCGGAGCCGCCGGCACCGGCACCGGCACCGGCAGCGCAGCCCAACAACTGTGAGTGACCACGGGACAGGGACACCCAACTGTGAGTGACCACAGGGACAGGGACAGGGGACAGGGACACCCAGGTGTGAGTGACCACTGGGACAGGGACACCCAGGTGTGAGTGACCACGGGACAGGGACAGGGGGACAGGGACACCCAGGTGTGAGTGACCACAGGGACAGGGACAGGGACACCCAGGTGTGAGTGACCACTGGGACAGGGACAGGGACACCCAGGTGTGAGTGACCACAGGGACAGGGACACCCAGGTGTGAGTGACCACGGGACAGGGACAGGGGGACAGGGACACCCAGGTGTGAGTGACCACAGGGACAGGGACAGGGACACCCAGGTGTGAGTGACCACGCGACAGAGAGGGGACAGGGACACTCAGGTGTGAGTGACCACGGGACAGGGACAGGGGGACAGGGACACCCAGGTGTGAGTGACCACAGGGACAGGGACAGGGACACCCAGGTGTGAGTGACCACGGGACAGGGACAGGGGGACAGGGACACCCAGGTGTGAGTGACCACAGGGACAGGGACAGGGACACCCAACTGTGAGTGACCACAGGGACAGGGACGGGGGACAGGGACACCCAACTGTGAGTGACCACGGGACAGGGGGACAGGGACACCCAGGTGTGAGTGACCATTGCTGTGGGGACAAAAGGAGGGAGAGGCCCTGTGGGCAGCCCCCGACAGTGACACCCCGACAGTGACACCCCGATAGTGACACCCCAGCCCAGGACATTCCCACTGTGCTGCCCCCGTTGCCTTTGGGGTCGGGCAGGAGGGGTTGGGAGTCGTGGCCCCAGCACTGCCCTGTCCCCGCAGTTCCCCAGGGGATGCTGCCTCCCTTCCCGCCGGGAATGTTCCCGTTCTGGCCGCCCGTGGGGCCCTTCCCGCCCGGCCCCGGCGGCGTCCAGGCCCCGGCGGCCGGTGCTGATGGCTCGGCCGCGGCCACCGACGCTGCTCCCGGTGAGTCCCACCCTGAATCCCACCCTGAATCCCATCCTGCCCCAAATCCCACCCCAAATCCCATCCCCTGCCCCTTGTCCCACCCTGAATCCCATCCTGCTCCAAATCCCACCCCAAATCCCATCCCCTGCCCCTTGTCCCACCCCGAATCCCACCCCAAATCCCATTGTGCCCCAAATCCCACCCGAAATCCCATTGTGCCCCAAATCCCACCCCGAATCCCACCCCAAATCCCATTGTGCCCCGAATCCCACCCATAATCCCATCCTGCCCCAAATCCCACCCCAAATCCTATCCCCTGCCCCTTGTCCCACCCCAAATCCCCCAAACCCCAATCCCACAAATCCCACTCCCCTCACTTTTCCCACCAAATCCCCCCCGAACCCAAATCCCCCCCCAAATCCATTCCTGCTCCCTTTTCCCACCCTAAATCTCCCCATACCCAACTCCCTCCCTTTCCCATCCCAAATCCCCTTTCCCACCCCAACCCCCCCCTTTCCCACCCCAAAAACCCCTTCTTCCACCCCAAACTTTCTCCCCCTGACCCCTCTGTGCCCCCAGGTGCCCGTCCCGGTGCCGGTGCCGGTGCCGGCGCTGCCGGGCCGGAGCCGGGCGGTGCCGGGGCCGTGCCGGGGCTGCCGCTGCCGCCGCCCTGGGTGGGGATGCCGTGGCCGCCGCTCTTCGGTAGGATTGGGACTCGGGATTTGGGAATTGGGGATTTGGGAATTTGGGATTGGGGATTTGGGATTGGGGATTTGGCATTGGAGATTGGGGATTGGGGGTTTGGGGATTGGGGAATTTGGAAATTTGGGGATCCCAGGATGCACCCCCGCCCCTCCCCGCAGGGGTGCCACCCATGCTGGGGATTGGGGATTTGGGGATTTTGGGGATTTGGGAATTTGGGGATTTGGGAATTCAGGGATTTGGGAAATTGGGATTCAGGGATCCCGGGATGCACCCCTTACCCCTCCTGCAGGTGTGCCGCCCATGCCGGGGATTTGGGAATTCGGGGATTTGGGGATTCAGGGATTTGGGAATTTGGGGAATTGGGGATTTGGGAATTCGGGATTCAGGGATCCCGGGATGCACCCCTTACCCCTCCTGCAGGTGTGCCGCCCATGCCGGGGATTTGGGAATTCGGAGATTTGGGGATTTGGGAATTCGGGGATTTGGGAATTCAGGGATTTGGGAAATTGGGATTCAGGGATCCCGGGATGCACCCCTTACCCCTCCTGCAGGTGTGCCGCCCATGCCGGGGATTTGGGAATTCGGGGATTTGGGGATTCAGGGATTTGGGAATTTGGGGAATTGAGGATTTGGAAATTGGGGATTTGGGAATTTGGGAATTCAGGGATTTGGGAATTTGGGGAATTGGGGATTTGGGAATTCGGGATTCAGGGATCCCGGGATGCACCCCTTACCCCTCCTGCAGGCGTGCCGCCCATGCCGGTGCCGCCGGCCGGCTTCGCGGGGCTGACGGAGGAGGAGCTGCGCGCCATGGAGGGCCACGAGCGGCAGCACCTGGAGGCGCGGCTGCAGTGCCTGCACAACATCCACACGCTGCTGGACGCTGCCATGCTGCAGATCAACCAGTACCTGGGCGTGCTGGCCTCCCACGGGTAACTGGGAGGGACTGGGAGGGACTGGGAGGGACTGGGAGGGACTGGGAATGAACTGGGGGGGACAGATCAACCAGTACCTGGGCGTGCTGGCCTCCCACGGGTAACTGGGATGGACTGGGAATGGACTGGGATGGACTGGGAGGGACTGGGAGGGACTGGGAATGAACTGGGGGGGACAGATCAACCAGTACCTGAGCGTGCTGGCCTCCCACGGGTAACTGGGAGGGACTGGGATGGGACTGGGAGGGACTGGGAATGAACTGGGATGGACTGGGAGGGACTGGGAATGAACTGGGGGGGACAGATCAACCAGTACCTGAGCATACTGGCCTCCCACAGGTAACTGGGATGGACTGGGATGGGACTGGGAGGGCACTGGGAGGGACTGGGAGCACTGGGAGGGCTCGGTGCTGACCACCCCCCCGCTTCCCCACTCCCGGGAATTTGGGATAACTCTGGGGTCACTCTGGGATCCCCCCAGGACCCCCCGAGCCGCCCCCCGGCCGCCCCCCGGCCGCGAGGTGCCCCCGGAGGAGCCCCCGGCACCGGGACCCTCGGGAGTCGCCGGAGCCGCTGGTACGTGAGGAGCCCCGAAACTGGGCTGGACTGGGTTAAACTGGTGCTGAACTGGGTTAAACTGGTGCTGAACTGGGTTAAACTGGTGCTGAACTGGTGTTAACTGGGCTAACCTGGTACAAACTGGTTCTGCACGGGGTTAAACTGGTACAAACTGGCACAAACCAGTTGTGCCCTGCTCTCCCGCAGAGCCGGCCCCCGCCGAGGATGAGGAGGACGCGGCCGAAGGCTCCGAGCCCCGGGAGGGCCCCGAGCCCCCAGAGGGCCCCAACACGGCCGAGCTGCGCCGGCGGCGGCTGCAGAGGCTGGGGACCCCCCCCCACTGACTGGGACCCCCCAAATTGACCGGGACCCCCCACCACTGACCAGGACCTCTCCCCAAAACTGACCAGGACCCCCCAGATCAACCCAAGTTCGCCCCCAGATGGACCCGAGATCCCTCTGGGACCCCCCCCCAGAGTGACCCAAAATCGCCCTGGGACCCCCCCAGACTGAACAGGACCCCCCAAAACTGACCCAAGATACCCCCGGGACTCCCCCAAACTGACTGGGACCCCCCAGACCAACACCACATCTACCCCAGGACCCCCCAGACCGACCCAAAATCCCCTCAGGACCCCCCAAAATGACCCAAGATCTCCCCCCGGGACCCCCCCAAACTGACCAGAACCCCCCCAGACTCGAGTTCCCCCCAGACTGACCCAAAATCCCCCCAGGACCCCCCAGATTGACCTGAAATTCCCCCGGGAACCCCCCAGGACCCTGCAGACCAACCTGAGATCCCCCCCAGGACCCTCCCTCACCTCCAGGACCTCTCCCCTCCCCATTTTCCATGGAAATTCCTGTCTGGAAGCAAATCCCAGTCCCCTTGGTGTCCCCAGCCCCATTTACCCAGCCCCTGACCCCTTTTCCCTCTCTTTGCCCCCATTTTTTCCCAATTTTCCCCCACTTTTTCTCAATTTTCCCCATTCTTCTTCCATTTTTTCCCAATTTCTCCCCATTTTCCCCCAATTTCCCATTTTTTTCCCAATTTTTCCCTGTTTTTCCCCAATTCTCCCTCTCCCCTGAGCCAGGGTCGGGTCCCTGTTGTTCCCTGGGGGTTTCAGGGTGTCCCCCCCCCCCCAAACCCACCCTGGGGGGCCTTTGACCTCTGACCTCACCTGGCCCGGGGAATTCGGGACCCCCCTGGGATTTCGGGGTCCCCTCCCATGGGAATTTTGGGGCTACCCTGAGGATTTTGGGGACATTCCTTGGGATTTTGGGGGTCCCCAGATAGAATTTTAGGGCCCCCACCCCCCCCAGATTTGGGTCCTGCCCATGGGAATTTCATCATTTTCCCGGGAATTTTGGGACCCCCTCCATGGAATTTCGGGGTTCCCCCCTGGAATTTTGGGATTTCTGCCCCCCATTAACAGTATTAACCCCTCCCCCCACACTCTCCCAGTCCCAAACTGGTTTGGACTGGTTGGCCATGGCTGGGGTTGCAGTTTCTCGCTGACTTTTGCCCAATTCCGGGCACTTTTGGCCCAAATCCCGCCGCGATTCCGGGCCGGCCGCGCCCCCAGTGCCTCTGGAACCCCAAATTCTCAGGGAAAAACCAAAAATCCACAACCCAGCGGCCGGAATCGACGGAAAATGGCGCCTTTTGCACCAAAATGGGGGCTGGGGCGGGAGACTTTTGGGGCAAAAAGGAGCCAAATAGGGATTTTCGGGTTTGAGGTGGATTCTTTTCCTTTCTTCCTTTAATTTTTTGGGCAGTTTTGGCCCCAGCTTGAGTGGCTTGATGAGGAATTTGGCAATAACGAAGCGGCGCCGCTTTGGGGAGTTGATTTTGAACCCTTCCACGTTGTTTTTTTTCCCCATTTTGAGCCAAAATCATAATTTCTTTTGGGTCTGTTTGAGGCTTTTTTTGGGTGGATTCCTTAAAAAATTGCCTCATTTCGGGGTGAAGCCACGGGGAGGGGGAGGGATGGTTCCGGGGGGCGCTGGACCCAAAAATCTCTCCTTTTTCCCCCGAAGCGGTGGCGGAATTATTTAATTTGTAAATAATGTACAAATTTTTACCAGCTCCGGTGTAAATACAATAAAGGTTGCAGTAAAGCTCGGCTCCTCCCGCCCGCCAGGGGGCGCGCTGCGGCCGCGCCCGCGTCTCTATGGTCCTCCCCCCTCAAAGTCTCTGTGGTGGATCAACACCCTCTTGTTGTTATAAACCGGTTTTTATAACTGATTTATAATGGTTCCGCACCCGCCGGGTCTGTAGGGTTGGTACGGAGCTGTCTGTACTGGTTTGTACTGGTTTATACTGGTTTGTACTGGTGTGTTCCCAGTGTGCCGCTCCGGCCGCTGGGCGCGTCTCTATGGTTTTGTTTCCCGCCGCCGTTACTCCTTTATGGGACTAACGGTCCTCCCGCCCGCCAGGGGGCGCTGCCACTTCCGGGTCCCGCCATGGCGGCGGAGGCGCCCGAGGAGGGGACCGGGGGCACCGACGGCACCGGGGGGGCGATGGACGGGGACGGGGGCGGCGCTGAGAGCCCGGGAATGGGCGGGAGAGAGGTACCGGGGGTCCCGAGGGGCTGGGGGGCAGGAGGGGCCCGAGGGGCAGCGGTGGAGGCGAGGTCTGAGGGGGCTCGGAGAGGATTTGGGGCGTCTGAGGGGATTTGGGGGTCTCGGGGGGTTTGGGGTGAGGGAGGGGCTGCGGTGGGCGAGATGTGAGGGGGCTCGGAGAAGTATGGGGGGATTTGGGGGCTCTGAGGGGACCCTGAAATCGGCCCCAAATCAGTCCCAAGATTGGACCCCAAACAGTCCAAAATCGGGCCCAAAGCAGCCCAAAATCAGTCCAATTTTGGCTTCAAATCAGCCCAAATTTTGCCTCAAATCAGCACCAAAATCGGCACCAGTCGGCCCCAAATCAGCCCCAAAATCAGTCCCAAAATTGGCCCCTGCTCTTATCCCAGCTCCCTCCACATTTCCCCTCACGTTTCCACCCAATTTCCCCCCTTATTTTCCCCTTTCCCCTCCACATTTTGCCCCAATTTTTCCCCTTTCCCCCACATTTCTCCCAAATTTCCCCCCCAGCTCAGAAAACCCGACGACCCCTTGGGGCTCCTGGGACCCCTCAACTTTTCGGGAGGTGACCCCAACCCCTCCTACAACTACTGGTACCAGGTGGGTTTTGGGGGTCTCCAGGGGGGGTCCCCAGGCTGATCCCCCTCTCCTTTTATCCCTCCCCAGCACGGCTCCAGCCCCTGTGGCTACCAGAGCCCCCGGGGCTACAGCCACTCCCAGGGGCAGAGCTTGGGGGGCTCCGCATCCCCACCCCCCTGCACAGACCGGGGGACCCCTCCCCAAAATTTGGGGGGTGGGGGGAGGGCATTGTAAATAAAGAGGCTGTGAGGAGTTACCCTCATTTATGAGGTGTTTATTCCATTTTGAGGCGGCTTCCAGCAGATTTTGGGGTACCCCAAGGTGGATTTTGGGATCCTCTCTGTGGGTTTTGGGGTGGCCCAGGTGGATTTTGGAACCCCGGTGTGGATTTTGAGGTACCCCCAGCAGGTTTTGGGGTGCTCCAGAGGGATTTGTGGCTGTCCCCAGCAGGTTTCAGGCAGATTTTGGGGTGCTCCGGGTGAATTTGGAGGTGCCCAGGTGGATTCCAAGGCTCCCTATGAATTTTGAGCCGCTCCCAAGAGATTTTGGGCTGCTCTAGGTGGATCTGGAGGTGCCCCAAACAGATCTTAGGGTGCCAAGGTGGACCTGGAGGTGCCCCAAACTGATTTTGGGGTGCTCCAGGTGGATCTGGAGGTGCCCCAAACAGATTTTGGGCTGCTCTAGGTGGATCTGGAGGTGCCCCAAACCGATCTTAGGGTGCCAAGGTGGATCTGGAGGTGCCCCAAACAGATTTTGGGGTGCCAAGGTGGATCTGGAGGTGCCCCAAACAGATTTTGGGGTGCTTCAGGTGGATCTGGAGGTGCCCAGGTGGATCTGGAGGTGCCCCCAACAGATTTTGGGGTGCTTCAGGTGGATCTGGAGGTGCCCAGGTGGATCTGGAGGTGCCCCAAACTGATTTTGGGGTGCTTCAGGTGGATCTGGAAGTGCCCCCAGGAGCTGTTGTGCTGCCCAGGCTCCATTTCGGGATGCTCCAGCTGAATCCACAGCAGATCCCGGGCAGACTTCGGGATCCCCCAGGCAGATTTTGGGGTCCCCAGGCAGATTTCGGGGTCCCCAGGCAGATTTCGGGGTCCCCAGGCAGATTTGGGGGTCTCTAGAAGCCCGTCTGCAGCAGCCACTGCCGCACCTGGGGCCCCCAGTGCCCGCGGAGCCGCAGCGTCGCCGTCACCTCGTTCACCTGCGCCGGCACCTCGGGGACCCCCAGGGAGCCCAGGAACGCGCTCAGGTCCCGCTGCAGCGCCTGGGGGGCGGCGGGGAGGGTCAGGGGGAGCCCCCCAACACCCCCAGGGACCCCCAACACCCCCCTGAGCCCCCCAACTCACCCAGATGTCGCCGTGGATGCGGCGCAGCTCCGTCAGGCGCCGGCCCTGCCGCCGCCCCTCGTACACGGGCAGGTTGTGCAGGCGCGAGCGCCGCACGAAATAGGGCAGCTCCGGGGGGGGCCCTGCGGCAATTAACACCCCCCGCGGGTAATTAACACCCCCCGCGGGTAATTAACACCCCCCAGGGGTAATTAACACCCACCCCGCCCAAATTCTCTTCACTGCGTAATTTGGTATTCCCTAATTTCTCCTCCAAGGAAATATTTTGGAGCCCTCCCCGGGGTAATAAATACTCACCAAGGAGTAATTAATACTCACCAAGGGATAATTAACATCCCCCCGGGGGTAATTAACAGCATCCAGGGGTAATTAACACCCTCCCAAGGGAATTAACAGCCACCCCGCTTAAATTCTCTTAATTTCGTGGTTTAGAATTGTTAATTTCTCCTTCAAGGAAATATTTAGGGGCCCTCCCCAAGGGTAATTAACACCGTTTGGGGGTAATTAACAGCTACCCCAAGAGAATTAACAGCCATCCTTCCTAAATTCATTGTGTAGTTTGGTATGCAGTAATTTCTTTTTTAAGGAAATATTTTGGAGCCCTCCCTGGGGTAATTAATACCCACCAAGGAGTAATTAACATTGTCTGGGGGTAATTAACATCCTCCCTAAGTAATTATCACCTCCCCAAAGAAATTCAACCCACCCCGGGGCAATTCACTTTGGGGTAAATAAATCCTCTTTGCTCTTTGGGCTGATTCCCTCTTGAAGGGAGTATTTTGGGTAATTAACACCACCCGGGGGGTAATTAACATGCCTCCGAGGTAATTAAGCCCCCCGAGGTAATTAAACACCTCCCACAAAGTCAAGAAGCTCCCCCAGGATAAATAACTGATAAAGAACCCTGGTGATCCTTACTTTGGGGTAAATCACCCCCTCTAATTACCCCTGGCACTAATTACCCCAGCTAATGACCCCGGGTAATTACCGACCTGCGGGGGGGCTCCAGCCGGACGGGGTCGGGTATTTGGGGTGCGGGGGGGGCTCGGGGACGCGGCTGGGGGGCAGCAGCCGCTCCACGAACCCGAATTCAGCTGTGGACTCCTGATAGCCGGGGGAGCTCTGGGGGACCCCAAAACCCCTGAGAGACCCCCCAAAACCCCTGAGAGACCCCCAAACCCTGAGAGACCCCCCAAAACCCCTGGGATACCCCCCCAAACCCTGAGAGACCCCCCAAAATCCCTGAGAGACCCCCCAAAACCCCTGAGAGACCCCCCAAACCCTGAGAGACCCCCCCAGAAACCCCTGAGAGACCCCCCAAACCCTGAGAGACCTCCCAAAATCCCTGAGAGACCCCCCCAAACCCTGAGAGACCCCCCAAAATCCCTGAGAGACCCCCCAAAACCCCTGAGAGACCCCCCCAAACCCTGAGAGACCCCCCAAAATCCCTGAGTGACTCCCCAAAAATCCCTGAGAGACCCCCCAAACCTTGAGAGACCCCCCAAATTCCCACAGAGACCCCCCCAAAACTCCTGAGAGACCCCTAACATCCTGAGAGACCCCTCAAAACTCCGAGACCCCCCAAAACCCCTGAGAACCCCCCCCAAAATCCCTGAGAGACCCCCTAAACCCCTCAGAGACCCCCAAATCTCCTGACCCCATTTCTCCACCACCAAACCCCCGCAGTTCCCCTCTCCATTTTTAGGAACACCCCCCCAAATCTCCCCTCTCCATTCCCCCCCTCAGTTTCTTTCCCCAAACCCTCCCTCCCTCCCTCCCTCCCTCCCTCCCCAATTTCCCCTCAGGCTCCAATCCTCCTTCACCCCTCAAACCCCCCACTCCAATTCCCCCCTCACACCTCCCCACCCCTCTATTACCTAAACCCCCCAGGGAACCCCTCACACCTCAATCCCCGCCTCAGGGTACCTGCACCCCCCTGAGCCCCCGGCCCAGCGCCCGCAGCCTCCGGCCCAGCGCCGCCATCGCCGCCATCTTGGCTCCTCCTTCTTCTCCTCCCCCTTCCCGCCTCGTGACGTCAGCACGCGCGCATGTGGCGTCAGCGCGCACGCTCGTGACGTCAGCGCGCTCTCCGCGCACGCGCTCGCAGCCCTGAGGGAGCCGCTGAGGTGGGGCCGGGCCGGAGGTGCCGGGCGGGAATTGGGGGGAAATTCAGGGGGGATTTCAGGGCTCTGGGGGCTCCGGGAGGGAATTGGGGGGGATTTCAGGGCTCTGGGGGCTCCGGGAGGGAATTGGGGGGGATTTCAGGGCTCTGGGGGCTCCGGGAGGGAATTGGGGGGGATTTCAGGGCTCTGGGGGCTCCGGGAGGGAATTGGGGGGGATTTCAGGGGGGATTTCAGGGCTCTGGGGGCGCCGGGAGGGAATTGGGGGGGATTTCAGGGCTCTGGGGGCTCCGGGAGGGAATTGGGGGGGATTTCAGGGGGGATTTCAGGGCTCTGGGGGCGCCGGGAGGGAATTGGGGGGGATTTCAGGGCTCTGGGGGCTCCGGGAGGGAATTGGGGGGGATTTCAGGGCTCTGGGGGCGCCGGGAGGGAATTCAGGGGGGATTTCAGGGGGGATTTCAGGGCTCTGGGGGCTCCGGGAGGGAATTCGGGGGGGATTTCAGGGCTCTGGGGGCGCCGGGAGGGAATTCAGGGGGGATTTCAGAGCTCTGGGGGCGCCGGGGGGCTCGGGGAGAGGCCAGGGGAGGCTCTGAGGGGTTTGAGATTAAGGGAAGCGTTGTGGAGGTTCTGGAGGGGCTCATGGGGGTGTGTTGGTGGAGCGGGAGGGGTTCAGGGAAGGTTTGGGGAAAGATCCTGAGGGGGTTTATGGGGGGGGTGCCCTGGAGGGGTTTAGGGGGGTCTTTTGTGGGGTTGGGGAGTGTTTTGGCGTCTCTGAGGGGGATTCAGATGGGGGGTCTGGAGGGTTATTGGGGATTTGGGGAGCTGCAGGAGCATCTGGGGAGGCTCTGGAGGGGTTTTGGGGGGGTTTTGAGGGGGCTGCAATGGTTTGGTGGTTAAGGGGGGGCCCTTGAGGCTTTGAGGTCGTTGGGGGGCAGCTCTGAGGGTGGGGGGCACCCAAGGGTGCTGCCGGTGACCCCCTCCCCGGCACCGCCCTTTGTCCCCATGGCCCCAGGGCAGGTGACAAAGTCCGGGGGGCGGGAGAGTTGCTGGAAAACGCTCCCAAAAGTGTCAGAATCCCACGCAAAAGAGCCAGACCACCCCAGAACACACTCCAAAATAGCCACAGCCTTCCAGAAACACCCCAAAACAGCCACAGTCCCACCCAAACCAGCCAGAAACGCCCCAAAACTGCCACAGTCCCATCCAAAATAGCCACAGCCCCCCAGAACCCCCCCAAAACTGCCACAGCCCCCAATATCTACCCCTGTCACCCCCAAAAACCACCACTCACCTCCCCAAAAATAACCCTCGAACCACCCCCAGACCACTCCTCCCTCAGCTCCCTCCCTTCCCTGGGGATCTGCCCCCACTCCCAGCGGGTTCCCCCCAATTTTTGGGTTTTGGGGACCCCCCTCACCCTCTAATCCCCCCTCCCCAGCCGCCACCATGCAGCTCTTCATCCGCGGCCAGACCCTCCTCACCCTCGAGCTCTCCGGCTCCGAGACCCTCGCCCAGATCAAGGTGAGCCCCCAAATTTGGGCTGTTCCTCCTCCCAAATCCCTCCCCTCGATTTTGGGGTGCTGACCCCCCTCTTTGTGCCCCTTTCCAGGAGAGGGTGGCCGAGCTTTCGGGGATCCCCCCCGAGGAGCAGCTGCTGCTGCACGCCGGGACCCCCCTGGACGATGAGGCCGTGCTGGGGCAGAGCCCCCTCCCCAAATTCACCACCCTGGACCTCTCCACGCGCCTGCTGGGCGGTAATTCCGGGGGGCCCGCTAATTACCGGGGTGTTAATTAACAAAATAACCCCCCATAACACCCCCATTTCCTTCCCCCAGGTAAGGTGCACGGCTCGCTCGCCCGCGCCGGCAAAGTGAGGGGCCAGACCCCCAAGGTGAGCGCTGAGGGGGCTCCCCCTGGCTTGAGGGGGTTTGGGGACCCTGCCAGGGGTTTGGGGACCCTGCCAGGAGTTTGGGGACCCCCCTGACCCCCCCATATTTAACCAGGTGGCCAAGCAGGAGAAGAAGAAGAAGAAGACGGGGCGGGCCAAGCGGCGCATGCAGTACAACCGGCGCTTCGTCAACGTCGTGCCCACCTTCGGCAAGAAGAAGGGTCCCAACGCCAACTCCTGAGGCCAATAAAGGAATTTGGGAGCAATTCCCAGCGTTTTGGAACTTCTCGGGGTTTTTATTTTTTATGTTCTTCTGGGGATTTTTAACTTTGTTTTGAAGTTGGTTATGAAGCGTTCAGAGTGGTTTGGGGGTGAAGCTGGCCTAGAAAGGATTAATAAAAGTTCCCGAGCCGCTGATGGAGCTGGTAATTAGAGGGAGGAGCTTAATGAGCGTTAATTTGGAGGCTGCTAATGAGAAGAAATTGTCTGGAGAATGAGTCTCTATGGGGGAAGCGGAGAGAGCCGAACGGTGCCGGAAACACCCGAGTGCGGCGGTGGGCGGGGCTGAGGAGCCGAACGGTGCCGGAAATACACGAGCGCCGCGGTGGGCGGGGCTTAGGGGGCCCAGCGGCGACGGAAATACCCGAGCGACGCGGTGGGCGGGGCTTAGCGACCGAGCGGCGACGGAAATGCCCGAGCGCCGCGGTGGGCGGGGCTATGGGGCCGAGCGGCGACGGAAACACCCGAGCGCAAGGGAGGGACGGAGGGAGCCGAGCGGCGCCGGAAATCCCCGAGTGATTCCGAATGTGAGGGAGCCGAGCGGCGCCCCCTGTCCCCCAAAATCCCCCTGGGAGGGAAGGAGGGACCCCCAAAACCTCCCCAATTCCCTTAGACCGGTTCCCCCCCCGCCCCAGAGCCGCTGGGTGAGGAAGGGGGCGGGGCAAATCCGTCCTGAGTTATGAATATGCAAATATACAAGGTTATTATGCTAATAAAGCGAGCGACGCAAAACCTCCCGCGCTGGCGGGACGAGAGGCGGGGTTATGCAAAACAGACGCGCGCAGTACATGCTGGGATGATTTTTTGGGGGAGATTTTCGGGATTTTAGGGGACGCCGGAGGGAAGCGCGGGATGAGGCGGGGAAGGAGACCGGGAACGGGAGCGGCACGGGGTGGGGTGCACCGTCCCCTGAGGTGCTGCAATACCGGGACGCTGTGGCGGCTATCGCGATATAACCGCGATAAAACCCATTTTCCATCTGTTTTTCACCATTTCAGGTCCCCGGTGGGGTGCACCGTTCCCGGAGGCACTGCAATACCGGGTCGCTGTGGCGGCTATCGCGATATAACCGCGATATGACCCATTTTCCATCTGTTTTTCACCAGTTCAGGTCCCCGGTGGGGTGCACCGTTCCCGGAGGCGCTGCAATACCGGGACGATGCGCGGAGCGGAGGGAGCAAGCTCCGGGTCCAACTCCCGAGCCCAAAAATCCGTTTAATATGAAGTCCTCTCATCGAGGACGTATCAGATATTAAACTGATAAGAACAGATACTACACTTGATCTTAGCCAAAAGGCCGAGAAGCGATACCAGATCCCGGCCCGGCACCGCACCGGCCCCGCCCGGCCCGCCGGGACCTCACGGCCACCCCCGCGCCGCCCCCCGCCCGCCCCGCTCCGCTCCCGGCCGCCTTCCCCGCCCCATTCCGCGCTTCCCTCCCTCGTCCCGCACGCTGCGACCCCTAAAATCCCGAAAATCTCCCAAAAAAATCCTCCCAGCATGCACTGCGCGCGTGGTGGCTCAATTAATGTGCATAGCCCCGCCCCTTTATGCAAATAGACACGGGATGTTGCTTTATAGCCCCGCCCATCGCTTTTTTTCCCGCCTCGCATCGTGATTGGCCGAACGCGCCGCTTTATTTGCATTCGCCCCGCCTTGTTTCCAACCGGCGGTTGATTAGCATAGTCCCGCCTTTCGCCGCTATTATGCTAATTTGTGGTCGCTCATTTGCATTCGCCCCGCCCGCCCCGCTGTCCCCATTGGGGTCCCACCTTCCCGCCGAGGCGCTCGGGGGTGGGGGGGGAGCGGGACCCCAAAAACCCCAAATCGGCCCCTCCTGAGCCCAAATCCCGAACCCGGACCCCTGAAACGGCTCCGAGCGCCCCAAAACCTGGCGCGGGTGTGTGTGTGGGGGGGGGGGTTAGGACCCCTTCGGGATCGGAGGGGGACCCCAAATCTCCCCCAGGCCAGGGGGGACCCCAAATCCCCCCCAGGGCCGGGGGGGACCCCAAATCCCCTCAGGGCTGGGGGGTGTCTCCGGGTTCACCGGGAGGGTGACAGGGGGTGACACCCCCAGTGTCCCCCATAGAGCTGGGGGGGGATCCCCCCAATTCCACCCCTCCCGCAAAACACGCGGGGGTCCCGGGGTTTGTGGGGTGTCACCCCCTCGGTTCCCCCGGGATGTCCCCCTCGGTTGGGGAGTGACACAAAGGGACAATCACGATATAATCGCGATCTAACCCATGTTTCGCTATTTCTGATCTATTTTTCACCGTGTGACGTACCCGGTGGGGTGCACCGTTCCGGAGGCACTGCAATACCGGGACGCTGTGGCGGCTATCGCGATATAACCGCGATATGACCCATTTTCCATCTGTTTTTCACCATTTCAGGTCCCCGGTGGGGTGCACCGTTCCCGGAGGCACTGCAATACCGGGACGATGCGCGGAGCGGAGGGAGCAAGCTCCGGGTCCAACTCCCGAGCCCAAAAATCCGTTTAATATGAAGTCCTCTCATCGAGGACGTATCAGATATTAAACTGATAAGAACAGATACTACACTTGATCTTAGCCAAAAGGCCGAGAAGCGATACCGGATCCCGGCCCGGCACCGCACCGGCCCCGCCCGGCCCGCCAGTACCTCACGGAGACCCCCGCGCCGCCCCCCGCCCGCCCCGCTCCGCTCCCGGCCGCCTTCCCCGCCCCATTCCGCGCTTCCCTCCCTCGTCCCGCATGCTGCGACCCCTAAAATCCCGAAAATCTCCCCCAAAAAATCCTCCCAGCATGCACTGCGCGCATGGTGGCGCAATTAATGTGCATAGCCACGCCCTTTTATGCAAATAGAAACGGGGTGTTGCTTCATAGCCCCGCCCATCGCTTTTTTTTTCCCGCCTCGCATCGTGATTGGCCGAACGCGCCGCTTTATTTGCATTCGCCCCGCCTCGTTTGCAGAGGGCGGTTGATTAGCATAGCCCCGCCTCACGTCGTTATTATGGTAATTTGTGCCCTCTCATTTGCATTCGCCCCGCCCCCGCCGCTGACCCCATTGGGGTCCCACCTTCCCGCCGAGGCGCTCGGGGGTGGGGGGGGGAGCGGGACCCCAAAAACCCCAAATCGGCCCCTCCTGAGCCCAAATCCCGAACCCGGACCCCTGAAACGGCTCCGAGCGCCCCAAAACCTCTCCCGGGTGTGTGTGGGGGGGTTTGGACCCCTTCGAGATCAGGGGGGACCCCAAATCCCCCCAGGCCATGGGGGACCCCAAATCCCCCTCAGGGCACGGGGGTGTCCCCGGGCTCACCGGGAGGGTGACAGGGGGTGACACCCCCGGTGTCCCCCATGGGGCTGGGGGGGGATCCCCCCAATTCCACCCCTCCCAAAAACACGCGGGGGTCCCGGGGTTTGTGGGGTGTCACCCCTCGGTTCCCCCGGGATGTCCCCCTCGGTTGGGGAGTGACACGAAGGGACAATCACGATATAATCGCGATCTAACCCATGTCGTACCCGTTGGGGTGCACCGTTCCGGAGGCGCTGCAATACCGGGACGCTGTGGCTGCTATCGCGATATAACCGCGATATGACCCATTTTCCATCTGTTTTTCACCATTTTAGGTCCCCGGTGGGGTGCACCGTTCCCGGAGGCGCTGCAATACCGGGTCGCTGTGGCTGCTATCGCGATATAACCGCGATATAACCCATTTTCCATCTGTTTTTCACCATTTCAGGTCCCCGGTGGGGTGCACCGTTCCCGGAGGCGCTGCAATACCGGGACGATGCGCGGAGCGGAGGGAGCAAGCTCCGGGTCCAACTCCCGAGCCCAAAAATCCGTTTAATATGAAGTCCTCTCATCGAGGACGTATCAGATATTAAACTGATAAGAACAGATACTACACTTGATCTTAGCCAAAAGGCCGAGAAGCGATACCGGATCTCGGCCCGGCACCGCACCGGCCCCGCCCGGCCCGCCGGTACCTCACGGCCACCCCGCGCCGCCCCCGCGCCCGCCCCGCTCCGCTCCCGGCCGCCTTCCCCGCCCCATTCCGCGCTTCCCTCCCTCGTCCCGCACGCTGCGACCCCTAAAATCCCGAAAATCTCCCCAAAAAAATCCTCCCAGCATGCACTGCGCGCATGGTGGCTCAATTAATGTGCATAGCCACGCCCTTTTATGCAAATAGACACGGGGTGTTGCTTTATAGCCCCGCCCATCGCTTTTTTTTCCCGCCTCGCATCGTGATTGGCCGAACGCGCCGCTTTATTTGCATTCGCCCCGCCTCGTTTCCAACCGGCGGTTGATTAGCATGGCCCCGCCTCTCCTCGTTATTATGGTAATTTGCGGTCGCTCATTTGCATTCGCCCCGCCCCCGCCGCTGTCCCCATTGGGGTTCCTCCTTCTTGCCAAGGAGCTCGGGGGTGGGGGGGGAGCGGGACCCCAAAAACCCCAAATCGGCCCCTCCTGAGCCCAAATCCCGAACCCGAACCCCTGAAACGGCTCCGAGCGCCCCAAAACCTGGCGCGGGTGTGTGGGGGGGGGGTTGGGACCCCTTCGACATCGGGGGGGGACCCCAAATCCCCCCAGGCCAGGGGGGACCCCAAATCCCCCTCAGGGCACGGGGGTGTCCCCGGGCTCACCGGAGGGTGACAGGGGGTGACACCCTCGGTGTCCCCCATGGGGCTGGGGGGGGGATCCCCCCAATTCCACCACTCCCCCAAAACACGCGGGGGTCCCGGGGTTTGTGGGGTGCCACCCGCTCGGTTGGGGTTGTGACACAAAGGGACAATCACGATATAATCGCGATCTAACCCATGTTCCGCTATTTCTGATCTATTTTTCACCGTGTGGCGTACCCGGTGGGGTGCACCGTTCCGTAGGCGCTGCAATACCGGGTCGCTGTAGCTGCTATCGCGATATAACCGCGATATGACCCATTTTCCATCTGTTTTTCACCATTTTAGGTCCCCAGTGGGGTGCACCGTTCCCGGAGGCGCTGCAATACCGGGACGCTGTGGCGGCTATCGCGATATAACCGCGATATGACCCATTTTCCATCTGTTTTTCACCATTTCAGGTCCCCGGTGGGGTGCACCGTTCCCGGAGGCGCTGCAATACCGGGACGCTGTGGCCGCTATCGCGATATAACCGCGATAAAACCCATTTTCCATCTGTTTTTCACCATTTCAGGTCCCCGGAGGGGTGCACCGTTCCCGGAAGCACTGCAATACCGGGACGATGCGCGGAGCGGAGGGAGCAAGCTCCGGGTCCAACTCCCGAGCCCAAAAATCCGTTTAATATGAAGTCCTCTCATCGAGGACGTATCAGATATTAAACTGATAAGAACAGATACTACACTTGATCTTAGCCAAAAGGCCGAGAAGCGATACCGGATCCCGGCCCGGCACCGCACCGGCCCCGCCCGGCCCGCCGGTACCTCACGGCCACCCCGCGCCGCCCCCGCGCCCGCCCCGCTCCGCTCCCGGCCGCCTTCCCCGCCTCATCCCGCCCTTCCCACCCGCGCTTCTCACACACCGAACCCAAAAATCCCGAAAAATCTCCCCAAAAAATCCTCCCAGAAAGCGCTGCGCGCGTCTGTTTTGCATAACCCCGCCTCTCCCCCGGCAGCGCGGGAGGTTTGAAGCGGGTCAGCGGAGAATGGGGAAAATCGGGGATTTGGGGAGGTTTGGCTGCTCCCGGTGTGAGCAGCGAGGATGAGGAAGGAGGGACGGGTCCTGCCAGGGGTCGCACACCTGCCCAGGTGTGTCCCGGAGCCCCGTTTCCCACAACATTCCGTTAACGCGGAGCCGGGACCCTTCACCGGCGCCTTTTCCGTCCTCCCGCCTGCTCCAACTAACGGAAATCAAGAATTTCCTTTAATCTTGCCGTAACGATCTCAGGGGCACGGGGCTGGCCGAGCTCCCGGGGCCATCCCGGGGCCATCCCGGGACCATCTGGGGCCATTCCGGAGGTTCCCGGGACCATCCCGGAGCCATCCCGGGACCATCCGGGGCCATCCCGGGACCATCCTGGGACCATCCCGGGAGCATCCCGGAGCCATCCCGGAGCTATCCCGGAGCTATCCCGGGGCCATCCCGGAGCTATCCCGGGGCCATCCCGGAGCCATCCCGGGACCATCCCGGGGCCATCCCGGAGGTTCTCCGGACCATCCCAGAGGTCCCCGGGACCACCCAGGACGATCCCGGAGGCTCCCGGGGCCATCCCGGAGCTATCCCGGGGCCATCCCGGAGGCTCTCCGGACCATCCCGGAGCCATCCCGGAGGCTCTCCGGACCATCCCGGGACCATCCCGGGGCCATCCCGGAGGCTCTCCGGACCATCCCGGAGGCTCTCCGGTCCATCCCGGGGCCACCCCGGAGGCTCTCCGGACCATCCCGGAGGCTCTCGGGGCCATCCCGGAGCCATCCCGGGACCATCCTGGGACCACCCCGGAGGTTCTCCGGACCATCCCGGGGCCATCCCGGAGGCTCTCCGGACCATCCCGGGGCCATCCCGGAGGCTCTTGGGGCCATCCCGGAGGCTCTCGGGGCCATCCCGGGGCCATCCCGGAGGCTCTCCGGTCCCTCCCGGTCCCTCCCGGTCCGTCCCCGCTGCCGCCGTGACGGGAGAGGGGCGGGGCTAACCCTGCTGGCCGCGCCCACAATGGGCGGGGCCGTTCCGGTGCCGCCGTGAGGGAAAAGGGGCGTGGCCAACACCGGCCACGCCCCTGTGGGCGGGGCCCCGCCGGTCCCGGAAGCGGCGGCGCTGCCCCGGAAGCGGCGGCGCGGGGCGGGCGGGGCGGCGATGGCGGCGGAGGAGCCTCAGCAGCCGCAGCCGGAGCCGCTGGGCGGCAGCGATGCCGACGGTACCGACCGAACCCCCCTCACCTCACCTCGCCCATCCCGCGGCCGCCGCCCTCGCCGGGCCGTCCCCCCGGTTCTCCCCTCCGCGGCGGCCTCGTTACTCCCGGGAGGGCCTCCAGCGCTCCGTGCGGCAGCCCCCGGTTCTCACGGAACCCAAACTCGCCACGATCCCCTCGCTTTCCCCCCTCAGGACCCTCCCGGGGGTACCCCAGACCCTCCCGGTGGGGCCGAGCAGCCGCTCGGGACCCCCGTGACCTCCCCCGGTAACCCCCGGTGACCCCCCCGGTAACCCCCGGTGACCCCCCCCCGGTGTCCCCCAGGTGTGAACTGCCTGGCCTACGACGAGGCGATCATGGCGCAGCAGGACCGGATCCAGCAGGAGGTGCGGACCCCTCCCCAAACCCCGCCCTGCCCCCCCCCGGGGGTCTCCCGGGCCCCGGGGGTCTCCCCGGTTGGCGGGGCCGTGACCCCCGGTTGGCGGGGCCGTGACCCCCGGCTGGCCGCAGATCGCCGTGCAGAACCCGCTGGTGTCCGAGCGCCTGGAGCTGGCCGAGCTCTACAAGGAGTACGCGGAGGATGACCACGTGTACCAGGAGAAGATCAAGGTGGGGACTGGGGGGACTGGGAGGCACTGGGAGGGGAACTGGGGGGACTGGGAGGGGAACTGGGGGGACTGGGAGGGGAACTGGGGGGACTGGGGGGACTGGGAGGGGAACTGGGGGGACTGGGGGGACTGGGAGGGGAACTGGGGGGACTGGGGGGACTGGGGGGACTGGGAGGGGAACTGGGGGGACTGGGAGGCGCTGGGAGGGAAACTGGGGGGACTGGGAGGGGAACTGGGGGGACTGGGAGGCACTGGGAGGGGAACTGGGTATACTGGGAGAGAAACGGGGGGGACTGGGACAGGGGCTGGGATGGACTGGAACAGACTGGGAGAGAAACTAGGGGGGGTTGGGGGGGACAGGGAGGAGAACTGGGGTGACTGGGAGGGGAACTGGAAGGACTGGGACAAACTGGGGAGACTGGGATGTACTGGGAGGGACTGAGGGGCACTGGGAGACTGGGATGAGGCTGCACACGGCACTGGGTGATACTGGGAGGAACTGGGACACCAGGATGGAACTGGTGGGTAGCACTGGGGGGCATGTCCCTGCTGTCCCCCCATGTCCCCCATGTCCCCCCATGTCCCCGCTGTCCCCCCATGTCCCCCCATGTCCCCCCACGTCCCCGCTGTCCCCCCATGTCCCCCCATGTCCCCCCATGTCCCCCCATGTCCCCCCATGTCCCCCCACGTCCCCGCTGTCCCCCCATGTCCCCCATGTCCCCCCGCTGTCCCCGCTGTCCCCCCATGTCCCCCATGTCCCCCCGCTGTCCCCCCATGTCCCCCCATGTCCCCGCTGTCCCCCCACGTCCCCGCTGTCCCCCCCATGTCCCTGCTGTCCCCCCACGTCCCCGCTGTCCCCGCTGTCCCCAGGACCTGCTGCAGAAGTATTCCTACATCCGGAAGACGCGGCCGGACGGGAATTGTTTCTACCGCGCCTTCGGCTTCGCGCACCTGGAGGCGCTGCTGGAGGACGGCCAGGAGCTGCAGCGGTCAGCACCCCAAAAATACCCCAAAACAGCCCCAAACAGCCCCAAAACAGCCCCAAACAGCCCCAAATGGCCCCTAAACACCCCAAAACAGCCCCAAAACACCCCAAAACAGCCCGAAACAGCCTGAAAGTACCCCAAAACACCCCAAAACACCCCAAAACAGCCTGAAAGTACCCCAAAAAATACCCTAAAACAGCCCCAAAACAGCCCGAAACAGCCTGAAAGTACCCCAAAACAGCCCAAAACAGCCCGAAACAGCCTGAAAGTACCCCAAAACAGCCCAAAACAGCCCAAAACAGCCTGAAAGTACTCCAAAATAGCACAAAATACCCTAAAACACCCAAAAACAATCTGAAAATACCCCCAAAATACCCCAAAACCAGCCCCAAAACAGCTCAAAAATAGCCCAAAACCAGCCCCAAAATGGCCCGAAAATGCCCCAAAGCCAGCCCCAACATAGCCCAAAAATAGCCCAAAAACAGCCCCCAAACACCCCAAAATCAGCCCAAAAACACCCCCAAAATGCCCCAAAAATACCCCAAAATGGCCTGAAAATAGCCCAAAACCACCCCCAAAACACCCCAAAAACAGCCCCAAAACACCCCAAAAACAGCCCCAAAACATCCCAAAAAAGCCCCAGAATGGCCCGAAAATGCCACAAAAAAAGCCCCAAAATGCCCCAAAAAAACCCCAAAATGGCCCAAAACACCCCAAAAACAGCCCCAAAACACCCCAAAAAAAGCCCCAAAATGGCCCGAAAATGCCACAAAAAAAGCCCCAAAATGCCCCAAAAAAACCCCAAAATGGCCCAAAAACACCCAAAAAGCAGCCCCAAAATAGCCCAAACCTATCCCAGGACACCAAAAATACCCCAGAAACAGCTCCAAAACAGCCCAAAAATACCCCAAAACCAGCCCCAAAATGGCCTGAAAATAGCCCAAAACCAGCTTGGGGACCCCAAAACCAGTTTAGGATGGCCCTGGGAACCCCAAAATACCCCGAAAACAGCCCTGGGAATCCCAAAAATAATCCAAACCCAGCCCTGGGACCCCAAAATAGCCCAAAAAATACCCTGGGGATCCCCAAAACCAGCTCAGAACAGCCCTGGGACCTCCAAATACCCCTAAAAACACCCCAAAATCCCCGAAACTCCCCCGGGTGCCCCAAAGCGGGGTGCCCCAAAGGTGGGGTGCCCCAAAGGCGGGTCCCCCTGAGCCCCCCGCTGCCCCAGGTTCAAGGAGGTGTCGGCGCGGAGCAAGGAGGAGCTGGTGGCGCAGGGCTTCACCGAGTTCACCATCGAGGACTTCCACAACACGGTGGGCGGGGGGCTCGGGGGGCTCGGGGGTGATTTTGGGGGGCTTGGGGAGGCTCTGGGGTGATTTGGGGGGGCTCTAAGGGGGTTCTGGGGGGGCTTTGGGGTTATTTGGGGGGGCTTGGGGAGGCTCTGGAGTGGCTTTGGGGTGATTTGGGGGGTCTCTAAAGGGGTTTTAGGGGGCTTTGGGGTGATTTAAGGGGCCTTGGGGAGGCTCTGGGGTGATGGGGGTGTTCTTGGGGGGGCTCTGGAGGGGCTTTGGGGTGATTTGGGGGGTCTCCAAAGGGGTTTTGGGGAGCTTGGGGGCTCTAAGTGGGTTCTGGGGGGGCTTTGGGAGGCTCCGGGGTGATGTGGGGGTTCTTGGGGGGGCTCTGGGGTGATTGGGGGGTCTCTAAGGGGTTTTGGGGGGCTTTGGGGTGATTTTGGGGGGCTTGGGGAGGCTTTGGGGTGATGTGGGGGTTCTTGGGGGGCTCTGGAGGGGCTTTGGGGTGATTTGAGGGGTCTCTAAAGGGGTTTTGGGGGGCTTGGGGGTGATTATGGGGGGCTTGGGGAGGCTCTGGGGTGATGGGGGTGTTCTTGGGGGGGCTCTGGAGGGGCTTTGGGGTGATTTGGGGGGTCTCTAAGGGGTTTTGGGGGGCTTGGGGGTGATTTAAGGGGGCTTTGGGGGGCTTGGAGAGGGTCTGGGGGATTTGGGGGGCTCAGGGTGGGTTCAGAGGAGGTCTGGGGGGCTTGGGGGGCGTTCTGGGGAAATTTGGGGTGATTGGGGGGGCTTTGGGGGGCCTGGGAGGGTTCAGAGAGCCATGGAGGGGACACGGGGGGACACAGGTGTGTGACACGGGTGTGACACAGGTGTGACACAGGTGTGACAGGTGTGACAGGTGTGACAGGTGTGACACAGGTGTGACAGGTGTGACACAGGTGTGACAGATGTGTGACAGGTGTGACAGGTGTGACACAGGTGTGACACAGGTGTGACACAGGTGTATCCCAGGTGTGACAGGTGTGTGACAGGTGTGTCCCAGGTGTGACACAGGTGTGACCC